ATGATGATGACGATGATGATGATGATGGTGTGATGTGTGATGCTGGGTTTGGCGATGACGATAATGGCGGCGATGGAGCGATGATATGTTTCGGAAGGGGCCCAAAGGGTAGTGCGACACAGAAAGCGAGAGAGAGAGAGAGACATATAGAAACATAAGACACATAGAAAGTGAAAAAGGGAGGGAAAAGGAGGGAGGAAGGAGAGAGGACGACGAATGGAGGAAGGAGGGAGACAGAAGGAGGGAGGAAGGAGGAAGGAAGAGAGAGGAAGAGGAAAAGTGGGACAGGAGGGTAACAAGGAGGATGAGGAGCAACGTGCAACGCCGCTGCATAGCCATTTTGGCACCAGGGCCTTCTCGCCCTCTCCAGGCCCAGCACGCACCCCTCACCCCCCCCCCAGCGAGTCATGGCCTGCCCGCCCTTCGAGGGCGACGGTGACCCGACGTCCCTCGGGCAGGCCCTCCTTTTTCGTACGTAGACTCCGAGGGGGTGAGGGGTGCGTTTCGGTTGGGCCAATATTTCCACCTCCACAAAGACCATGCCGTGCATGGCCCGAGCCTTGCGCAGCTGGACAGCCTGGTGGCTGGCTGCCGATGGGGGGGAGAGGGGGGGCGAGAGGAGAGTGCACGAGGAGGCACGAGAAAGCGGATCAGGAGAGAAGCGGGAGTGCAGCAGAAAGACGGACAGGAAAACAATAAGAGTTGACTGTTGATGATGATGGTGATGGTGATGATGATGGTGATGATGATGGTGATGATGGTGATGATAATGATCATGCTGCTGCTGATGCTGATGATGATGATGGTGATGATGATGATGATGATGATCAGCCTCGGGCGGGACCTCCTCCTTCTCCCGTCCTCCTCCTCCATCCTTCTCCGCTCTATCGTCCTCCTCCGCCTCGCGTTTCTGCTCAGCCTCCTCCTCCTCCTCCCCCTCCTCGCAAGGCGTCTTCAGATTTGAGGGCCTGCGAATGCGCTACTGCCTCCAGGGGAATCAGGGCCCGATGGCGAATCTTGGCTCCTGGAAAACTGTTTCATAAAAAAAACTGCGGCCCGAGGTTCTGGAATTTTCGCGGTGCCCTAAAGCTCTTCGGGAGCCCTGAAATTAATCCATACAGTAGAGCATGTTGTTTTTAGGGGGGGAGGGGCATCCGCCCAGTTGGAGATCCTGCTGAACGCTAGCCCCGAGGCGGACATCAGTTTCGTCGAGCTCCGCGCTGCCATGGAGATGGCATTGCAGAGGCTCCGACAGCGAACGAGGAGGATAAGGATGGGATCAGGAAGAGGAGGATGACGAGAAGCAGAGATTTTAAAAACATGATTTTTTCCAGCAGGCGCATTCCTCCTCCTTCATCTCTCGTGGTTCCTCCTCCTCTCCTCCTGCTCCGCCCCCCCTCCCTCCGTTCCTGATCCGCTTGCCCCATCCTCTCTCCTCCTGTTTCGAAATCTAATCCTCACCCCTCATCACCTCATCTTCGATCGTCTGACGATCGACTGTAGTAGCGGCGCAAATCTGGATCTGACGATCGTCTCGCGTCAGACGGTTGTCAGGTCGCAAACACAGACCTGGCGATCGTCAGACGTCAAACGGTCGTCAGATCGCACACTCAGATCTGACGATCGTCTGACGTCAGACGGTTGTCAGGTCGCAAACGCAGATCTGACGATCGTCTGACGTCAGACGTTCGTCAGATCGCACACTCATGTCTGACGATCGTCTGACGTCAGACGGTTGCCAGGTCGCACACACATGTCTGACAATCGTCTGACGTCATACGGTTGTCAGATCACACATGCAGATCTGACGGTCGTCTGACGTCAGACGGTCGTCAGATCGCAGAGTGGTGAGGAATGATGAAAAGGAAGCGGAGGAGGGATGAGGTGGAGGAGAAGGAGGGGGGAGGAAGGGGGGGATGAGGAGGAGGAGAAGGAGGCGGAGGACGGAGGAGGAGCGCAGTGAGGACAGGGGAATGACTGTAGGGTGCCCTATTGCACCCCTTTCCGAGGCACCCCACAGTGGGGCGAGAGCCTCCTGGCCCGCTGGTGAAGCGTGCGCCGAGCTTCGCAGACAAGATTAGCTGCCTGCTGAAACACTGCAGGCGCATCAGGGACAACCCGACGAGGCGACGGCAGGCGCTCGGGTGCTCGAAATGGCCACGATCACGATGGCGATAGTTCGGCGATGAGGACGTCGACTTCGGCGTCAACGACGGCGACGGCAGAAGGATGGGAGGGGGAGGTGGGAGGGGAGAGAGGAGACGGAGGAGGAGGTGGAGGAGGTGGATAAGTAGGAATGAACTTGGATGTGAGACGATCGGGGATGGGTGGGGACGGAGGTAGGGAGATGGAGAAGAAATGGGGAAGAGGAGGAAGTAGGGAGAGGAAGAAGGAGGGCGGAGGGAGGATGGTGGAGGCCGTTAACTTCTCCAGTTCCCAACGAGGCCCTGGCAGGCTGCTTGCGCAGGGAGGCCGAGAGGTTGATGTACGTGCTGCACATGCTGGGTGTTCCAGATGACGAGAACACTATGCTGAGGACACGCCCCGCACCCTCCATTCCGCCCGCAGGAGGAGGCGACTAGGTTGGATGACAGCAGGGGGATCGGGGGCGTGCTTCACGTTGCCTAGGTTAGAACTTCTAAGGGACGGGAGGATGAGGTGGCAGGAGCTTTGACTTGGAGAGGAGGGGTGGGGGTGGGGGAGGGAGTGGGGTGGGGTGAGGGGGGCGAGGGCGAGGAGGAGGGGCGGGAAGAGGGATGGGGAGGGGGAGAGAAGGAGGGGAATAATGAGGGAGATGCGGAGGATGGAGCTTGAATTCGGAAAAGGGCTGGCGCGCGCGGGGAAGCGATGGAGGAGGAGGAGAGGGGGCGAGGAGGAGGAGGAGGAGGAGGAGGAGGAGGAGGAGGGGGAGGAGGAGGAGGAGGAGGAGGGATGAGGAGGAGGAGGAGGAGGAGGAGGAGGAAGGAGGAGGAGCACCCCGCCGCACCCCCCCACCCCCCCCCCCCCCCATCCCACCCCCCTCAGCCCACCCTCACGCTGCCTCCGCGCAAACAGGAGGGGGCGACATGAGGGGGGGGGGGTGAGAGTGGGGGGCGAGGGAGGAGGAGAAGCAGGAGGGGGAGGAGAAGGAGGAGCCTCCTCCGCGCCTCCTCCACCAATACTTTTTTTCTGTCCCATGCTATGCCCTATCCTGCTCCTCCTCCTCCGTTGCTCCCCCTTGCGGTTTCTCATCGTGTCCTCCACCATCCGCCTTCCTTCCTTCGTTTCGGCGCCTTCGCCCCTACTAAAGGACTCCGCCTCCACGGGCCACGAGTGCGCCTGCCAGGTCGCCCACTACCCCGACCCCGCTGGCTCGGAGGGCGAGCTCCGCAGAGCTGTTCAGGTCGCAGGAGCTGGTTTCCCCTTCCAACATGCATGGGGCAGAGGCGGGAGGATCAGTAGAGGAATAAGAATAATGACCCGACAGGGGGGGGGGTGGGATGACAGGGGCGCGGAGGATCGGCTGATGATGTTGATGGCGATGATGATAGGAGGGAGGGCGACTTGGACACCGACAGTTCGAACAACATTGAGATGGTGGGGTCAGGTTCTTCTCCCTCCCCCCCCCCCCCCTCCCCTCCCCGCCGCCCCCCTCCCATCGCCGTCGTCCTCGCCCTTCTCCCCCCCCCCCACCCCCCCCCCCCCCCCCTCGCCCCCCCCCCATCTCTGCCGCCCCCCCCCCCCCCCCCCTCCCTCTATCCGCTCCGCCGCCTTCTCTTCCGCCGACTGCCGATCTTAGGAGAGAGTTCCAGTTCCTCTCGCTGATGGTTCAGAAAGTCATGAACCAGAAGCTCGTTGTGATGAACCAGAAGCTCCACGTGATGAACCAGAAGCTCTACGTGATGAACCAAGAGCTCCACGTGCTGAACCACGCGCTCCACGTGATGAACCAAGGGCCCCACGTGATGAACCAAGGGCCCCACGTGATGAACCAAGGGCTCCACGTGATGAACCAAGGGCTCCACGTGATGAACCAGAAGCTCCACATGATGAACCGCGAGCCGAGTTCACGGAGATCGAGCTGAAGGGCAATGCCCGGCTCCCTTCTGTATGAGAGGGGTAGGGGTGGATTAGCATGACGAGGATGAGGGGTAGGAGGAATACGAGGAGGAGGAACAGAGGAGGGATGGGGGGGAAAGGGAGGGAGGAGGAGGAGGAGAAGGAGGAGGAGGAGGAGCAGCAGCCTCCTCACTTGGATTGTTTGTGCGCGTGTGGGGGTGGGTCAGGGGGAGCGCCTGAAGCGCGGCCCCCAATCGCCCCCTCCCAGTCCACAGGCTGGCAGTCCAAGGGGGGCTGGCTCCCCCCCAGCATATTTCTCCTCTCCCCCTCACCCCTAGCTTCTCCTCCTAGTCACCCTATTCCTCATATTCCTTCTTCCCTCCCCCCCTCCCCCTCCCCCCTTCCCCCCCCAGCTCCCCGTCCCCCCCCAGTGGGGTTGGGGGAGATGGGGGGCGGGGGGGTGCAGGACAGTGCCCGAAACCATGCTGGCGCCCACAGGCGCTAGCGTTTTCCACCATCTGAGGTCTGTGACACCGTTGTTGGAACATTGCGCCACCCTGGGGCCCTGGACACATTCGCGTGAGAAAAGCAGTTCGTCTTGCGCTCCTAGCATTGTTTTGGTCATATTGGGTTATCCCATAAGCATCTTGAGCCGCTCTATCCGCTTCCCTCAGCATAGTGAGCCACCCTGGAAACATCTCGGCCATCTCATCCAGACGCATCTTGACTCAAGATGCGTCTGGCTGAGATGGCCGATGTGGTCAAGATGATCTTGAGCCACCGTGGCCATCACAGAAACGTATTTGGCATGTGGGAAACATCTTGGGTCATCTCTGAGCCCCCCCCCGCCGTGTGGCGCTCGCCGTTTCGCATCTGTAGCCATTTGGGCTTCAGGTCGGAGACCTTTGTGGCTTTTGCCGCCCGTCACGATGTCTCCTCTGGGCGTGACACCTCCTGCGGCCATGGCGGCGGTCGCCGCGGCTGCGCCTGGCGCGCGCGTTGCCATGGGGCGCGGGCAGGCCGCTCCAGCCGACGCGCAGCACCTCGGCATGGGCTCCGACCTGTGCGGGTTGGACTCCGACGAGGACGGCGGCTCGGCCGAGCAGGGCCCTTCCGACGAGGAGGGCGGCACGGCCGCGCAGGAGCATCTCGAAGAGGGCGGATCAGACGTTGATTGGTCTTTGTCGGTGAAGGAGGAGATCGAGGCGGCGTCAGACAACGAGATCGTTGGCGCTGATCCCGGTGAGTTGGAGGCCGCGGAGCAGGCCGACGAGGCTGGGCACATCCCAGTCGAGCAGGCGACGCCGCGAGAGCAGGCGCAATCGGCCTCCCCATGCGCCAGCATCCAGCTGGTGCCGAAGGCTGCTCCGAGCAAGCGCTCAGTGCAGCACGCAGCCCTGGACGAGCAGTCGCTGGCCCCACCGCTGGTCACGCCGACGAAGAGGCCGAAGATCAAGTCGAAGTCGCCGTCGGAGGAGTGCTACCAGGGCTACACCCCGACCCCGATCACGATGCTGACGCCGCCCCAGGTTTGCCTAGCTGTTTCGCCAGGCATCCCCAAGTCGCGCTGCAGCGCGGCATTGAGGCTCGAGTTTAGAGGTTTGGAAGGGCAGGGTGCGCAAGTTAGGTGGTTTCGTTTTGTTGTTTGGGACGGTGGCTCGACGCTTTTTAAAGTTTTCGTCGGTTTAGGTTCGAGGCGCGACTCGAACGCGCCTCGTGGTCCTGGGGCCGAGTCTGAAGATCGACAATGGCACGAGTTCATAGATGATAATCAAACTTGCGCTCCCTGCGCCAATCTCCATACCTCTGTGCTCCCTCAACCCCGTGACTGGCGCGCGCCCTGGGGATGTGCGCAGCAGCGAAACGGCATGAGGTTTCCTTCGCAGACTGCGTCAAGGAGAATGAAGAGATCTCAGTTTTCCCGCCGCTGCCGTTCCCAAGTGCGCCGCCTATCGTGCCGCAGCGAATCTCGTGCACTTCCATGCGCACGACGTGTTCCAGCGACTCGATCAAGAGCGTGGGAACCCCGACGCCGAAGAAGCCAGCCGCCAAGAAGGTTAGGAAGGCCGCGGCGATCTCCCGTGGCTCGTCTCCATCGGAGGGCTCGCCGCAGGTCGACATTTCCGACGCGGAGATGTCTGCGCTCGCGCTCTGGTTGAAGTTCGGGGTGACCACGAACTAGAGCACGATGTGCGTCGGATGGGCGGTGCGATGGGTGGTACGACATCGGCAACCTCGTCGGCTGGACGGCGCCTGTTGGGCCCGCCACTTTGTGCTACTGGTGCGCAGTCCAGCTAGATTCATAGTGAGATCATGTACAGGCTGTTTGGGGTAGCCTAGAACATACCATAATCACCATCGCCATCATCATCATCATCATCATCATCAGCAGCAGCATCATCATCATCATCATCATCATCATCATCATCACCATCACCATCTCTCCCTCCTTCCCTTCCTCCCCCTTGTCCTCAACTGCCCTCCTCCTTCGATGCCATCATCCGCAGAGTGTCATTGCGTCGTGCCGTTTTGTTGCCCCCCCCTTTTGGTTGGGATCTTCTGGGCCCTCGACGAATGTTAGTGTTGCTTGAAGCGAAACACTCGCGCATGCAATTCCGTTTGGAATGAGCGCCATTACGTGGGACACTTGTCCACGGTGCAAGTTGACAGTGCCGCCTCATTGGGGGGGGTTCACGTTTTTTCTCGCTAGGACAAGCTATGCCCCCAGCCCGATCAAACATTTAAAACCATTGGCGGCGCCAGTCCTGGGAAGGTTTTAGGCGCGTGGCCCATGGGCACCGATTTTGAAATACAGCCCGGATCTTCACCTTGGCTCGCATCAAGGCGAATGCAATGCAATGATCGCGCGAGGAAGTAGCCAAACGCGAGCAATCAAGCCCATGCATAGCAATCAACTTTTGCAACTTTCATTACCTCATCGTTACTCCAGATTTCGTAATAAAAGGGAGGGGGTCTGGACCCTCCAAGACAAGCCATTTCAGACCCACCCCCGTGGGGGGACCCTCCAAAACATCGTCCCCAGACCCCCCAGGTCCTCCAACATAGCCTGGAAAGGACCCCCCCCCCCCCCCGAAATGAGACCCCCCTCCCGTTATTACGAAATCTGGAGTGCCTGGTGCGCCTTCGCCCCCACTGTCTCCGTCCCTGGCGACCTTCATCCCCTCCACCGACGCTCCTCCCCCCCCCTCCCCCTCCCCCCCCTGCCGCCGCCGAGGACTTGGCCAAGTGGATGAAGGGCGGCGGTGACCACCAGTCATCAGATGACGAGGCAGAGCTGTTGGCCATGGCGGCGGCGTCCAAGGTTGTGAACCCGAAGAAGCGCGAGCTCAAGGCACTTGTGGGATCAGTTGGGTCACGGGAGGAAGCAGAATGATATTTCAGACAAGCCGAGGACATGTTCGCACTTTAGAATGGTTGAGCCCAGGGGGAATAGATGATACGCGGACGAGGAGGGCGAGAGAGTGAGAGACAAGTTGGCAGGGAGGGGCGGCCAAGTTTTGCGAGTGCGTCGAAAGATCAGGCGGGAGTTGTGGGGTTAGGGGGAGGGGGACATCATTAGTTGACTTGGCAACATATTCGGAAAGCCTTGTGATGCAGCAAACGTTTGGCCGCCCTCAGTCTCGACCACATGCTAGTATCATTGAAGATGTAATGTTCAAATGCATCGCCCTGGCCCACTTCTCCCCCCGTCGGCATTTGAGCATATTCAAAAATTAAACTTGCTTGAGGGGGCCGTTCAAACCAATATGTTACTGATTAGTCGATATGTTCTTGCTGTTTCTTTGAGGCCGAGATCAAGTCCAGGAAGAAGGCGAAGCCTGCCGTCGAGAAGAGGGACCGCCCCAGGAGCTTGGAGCACCCCACGTTGGGCTTGCTCAAGATGGTCTATGCCAGCAAGAAGACGCACATGACGTACACGGACCCAGAACCTTCAAAACCGCGCTTGTTTATTGAGGTCAATGAGAACCAGACAGAGGACCACGCAGGCGTGTGCGAGGCGTTGTTGAACGCTTCATGTAGGGGAAAGGGCCTGGACAAGGCAGAAGCAGCTGCGCTTCGCAAGAGGCTGCTTCGCAAGTAGTTTTGTTCCAGGAGACCGGGTGGGCTCAGACGCCCACCAGGTTTGCTTTTAGGCAGAGGCAGCTGCACTTCGCAAGATGCTGCTTCGCAGGTAGTTATGTTCCTGGGGATGAGGTTGGCTCAGATGCCAGCCAGGTTTTCATTTTAGGCATGGGCCAGCAATAGGTCACAATCTAAGCATGGTGTGTTTCTGGCGTCGGCCAACTCGAGGCCGGATTGAGGCTTGCCCGAGACTTGCCCAGGAGTTCCCTAAATCTAGTGACATCCAAAGATGAATCCCATACCGAAATCCGAAGGTTTCAGATGATGGGCCATCTGGGTCATCGGGCAGGCACAGCGATGTATTTCAACTGCATAAAAACAACGCACCTACCCTGGTTTACGAGGCGCTGTGCGCTGAAACTCCTGTGGGCTGATAGGGTAAAACATGCGCGATGTGCCGCGTCCTGGCGGCTCTAGGCTTTGGGGGTTCCCAGGGGGTTCACAGATCAGGCACTTGTAACCCAGGGCAGGGTCGTTTTTTTTTGCACCTCAAGTATTCGATTGCACGATCCGCCGTCTCGCGGAGCAAGACGCGGTCATGCGCGGTTGCCCGCGGGGGCCCCCGTTCGACAGGCCGCGCTCACGGCCTCATTGGTGAGCACATCCGCCCAGTTTGACGCATCGTCGGGCATGAGCAACTTCGTCAGGGAAGAAATAATGTGTGTTGCTTCTTTTCTCACTGCTGACATGCGTGGCCCGACTACTGAAGTATGCCTCCGCCAAGATTCGAACTCCAGGAGTTTGAGTCAAAATATTCGCAACCTCTTCCGACGCGATTAACCATCGCTGTTAAAAAATGAACGTTTCGCTCGAGACATGTCACCATTAATTTGAGCCGTGCGCGTCGGAAGGTCGGCGCGTGACGTCGAAATTTTTTTTGGTGGAAGTCGTGCGATGAGGACGTGGAGGGTTGCGATGAGGATAAGGGTGATGGGGGGAGGAGGAGGAGGAGGGCGAGGGCTTGACTCAGAACAATGACAGGGGATATCCACCCTCCCTCCGCCCCTTATCAGTGCGCTCGTTCGCCGCTGGCGCGTTGTCTGCCAGAAGGTCATGATCAGACGAGCCGAACTCTGCGTATGGTCTGTGGTATTTGCGATGTTCTGTCGGTCTCGAATTGCGTTTTGATGTAAAGACATAGCTCAGCTATTCGATGCAAGGAGGAGGCTTAGGGGGAAGGAGGGAGGATGAGAATGAGGAGGGGGATCTGAGGAGGGGATATCAGGTTCTACCATTATGTTGCACCACCAGCACACTTCGCCCAGTCAGGCCGATTGAATGTCACAACGTGCCAAAGAAGTCAAGTGATCGATGTTCGAGAGATCTGTGGGATAGATACGTTCGTCAGTTCAATATTGCGATGTAGTCTGTTTGGCGAGTTATGTTTTGCAGTGTCAAGCACTGTCTGGGAAACTAGCCAAGCGCTGTTTGGATACTAATATGTACGACATTCTATGTTTTGTAATGTATTTTTCGAATAGGTTTGATCAACAACTACAATAATCATTCAACCTACATAACCGTAACAGCGAGCCGTTGATATCATTGCACATTTTATTGAATGAAGTTGATTGGTTCCCCATCACATGTGTAGCATGTTTCAGGCTATAGGCAGTGGTGGTTCAAATATAGCAGAACATGGTGATCTGACAATGATCTGACAATGCCTGACGTCAGGCATTGTCAGACCATTGTCAGACCCTGAATCTGACAATGGTCTGACGTCAGATCATTGTCAGATCAATGATATTGCACTGACCTGGCGCCAGGTCATTCCCAATTTCACTTGTTCTGTAATGTTTCGGCGTGTTTTGATATAGTTTGAGCCCAAACATGTCAACTGTCACAGGAATACACCATTGAGCAGACAATGTATAACACACGCTAACACACCGTAGCTGATTAAGTCGCATATTTTTGAACGGCAATTTGGTGTTTTGAATTCAGCGAGTGTATGTGATGTCAGCGTTGTGTAAATAATAAATTGGTGGCGTGATCCCAAACTAGTGAGTATCCCATGCTCGCCTCGCTTCGCGCTCCAGGCTCCGAGGCATCTCTCTTCTGGCGAGGGGCCCGACCTTTTTCTTTTTCGGGCTGCGATGCCGCCGAAGCAGAAGCGCGCTGGAGATGCTGTGCTGCGACGTCCTGCAGCTGCATCGGCTTCGGCTGCGAAGTGGCCGATGAAAAAAAAAAAAAAAAAAAAAAAAAAAAAAAAAAAAAAAAAAAAAAAAAAAAAAAAAAAAAAAAAAAAAAAAAAAAAAAAAAAAAAAAAAAACACGGTCCACCCCCACCTCAGCATTTTGTTCGGGTGTGTCTGGCACAATTGCCATGTGAAAACATACAGGGTATGGACCACCGTCCTAATGCCAATCTGGCTTGTCATGCC